GGCTCAACGTTCAAGAATTTAATGACCTGTCTTGCTGTGTGCTCAGTGTGGTGTCATCCATGCACTGAAAGGTTGCCAGTTCAATGCCTGGTTAGGGCACATGCCCGGGTTACGGGCTCGATTCCCAGAAGGGGGTATGCAGGAGGCAACTGATGTTTCTCTCCTTCTCCCTTCCTCTCTCTCTAAAAATCAAAAAAGATCTTTAAAAAAAAAGAAAAAAGATTTAATGATGTTGTTTCTATTTAATCACCTACTCTGCTTATCACAGTGTCACTATTTTTTTCATACTAAAAGAATTAAAAAAAACTGTTTTTAGTACTTCTGGTTCTCACCATTTCATCTGAATTGTGCAAAAAGTAAACTATACAACAAAATCTCTAGATGGCTAACTCCTATCGCTAATTTGTATTTAATCTTAATTTGAAAAGAATATTCACATTCCATTAGGGATGGAAATGATTCCACCCCTTGCTACTGGTATTATTTTAAACAATCAGATTCCCATAAATTGTATATAAGCTAAAAAAATGCATACTGTGAGAAAATCCTGCTCAAATTTGTACGCTCCACCTCCAGTGGCACAAAAGACAGTGTGGAGACTTGAGAAGTTTTTATCTCTGCCCATTTGAATAAAAGCAGGCATGTCATGAGTGGGAAAGCGTATAAAGTGCAGATTGCCTTTGCGTCCACACAGAGTCAGGTCCTTCAGCTCCAGGTGCACATCCCGAATACCCGTGGACCCATAAGCCACATTGGAGGTCAGGTACTTCCGAATGCTTTTAAGACTTTCCACTTCTTCCTCTTCTTCTTCAGCAGTGATATCTTTGGGTTCAAAATAAACCAGCTTGACTAGGGTTCCACCAATATCCAAGCCAAACCATGGAAAAACTAAGTGGGAAAGAAAAAAAAAGTCAGAACAGCTTTTTCATGAAAACTAAATTTACACTTACTAGATTCGAAACTTATTTCATATCCTGAGGTTACCCAGGAATATATAAACAAAAAGGCTTTGGGGGGGCCCAGCTGGTGTGGCTCAGTGGTTGAGCGTCGACCTATGAACCAGGAGGTCACGGTTCAATTCCTGGTCGGGGCACATGCCCGGGTTGCAGACTCAGTCCCTGTTGGGGGTGTGCAGAAGGCAGGTGATCAATGATTCTCTCTCATCATTGATGTTTCTATTTCTCTCTCCCTCTCCCTTCTCTGAAATCAATAAAAAACATATATTTTTAAAAAGATTGAGAATAAAAATCTTCATCCTTGCCCTTGGCTTAGAGAAGAAAAGTTGGAAGTTTTCGGAGCTCTGTTAGTACTCAAACTAATAAGCTCCATGGTTCAATTTCTCTCAAAACCTAATGTCCTTAGGAGGTTTCAATGGACTTCAGTGAAACAGATGTTTCAAAATTAATATCTGTTACCAAAAAAAACTGTCCAAAAATAATGGCCTCAAGAGATGGACTGCAGATATACATGACTTCCCCTCCCACCTTAAACCCCAGAAGTAACTAAAGATATAGACTTATTGATATATTTGATATATTTGGGTGTATATATCTGTCAAAATGCATGGAACTGTACACTTGTAAAATATATTGATATATTTTTCTAAAGTAATTCTGGAAACAAGAAGAGATACTATCATTAGAACAAGGTTGATAAAGGCAATAACTGTCCAGAAACCTCAAAAGAGGAAGGCTGTGTGGCTCAGTGGATGAGCGTCAACCCATGTACCAGAAGATCCAGGTTCGATTCCCTGACAGGGCTCATGCGCAGGTTGCAAGCTCAATCCCCAGCAGGGGTCATGCAGGCGGCAGCCAATCGATGTTGATATTGATATTTCTATCTCTCTCTCCCTCCCCCTTCTTTTCTCTCTAAAATCAACTGAAATACATATTTTTTAAAAACAGAGGAATGCTATAATAATTAGCAGCAGCTATGAAGGTGTGGAGAGCATGTGGTGTTACCCCAAGCTATAGATGGGGTGACTGTCATGGGAAAACAGGAGCTCTGGTGCAGTCATGCGTGACCTGGTGGGGAAATGTGGCACACCTGGACAGGCTCTCTACTTCCCTCTACTGAGAACCACTCCCCTTCTCCCGCTTCTTCCAGCCAACAGAAGTGATGAGCACAGGCACTTGAGCCCAAGATTTAGGACAGCATCCAAGTAGCTGCTATTACCCAGAAAAAACAGGTGTCCAATTCTGGCCATATGACCCATCTCTCCCCTACAGTCCAATCTGACAGAGTGGTAAACAGACACTGCATCCTCTGACAGGAAAACAGCAATCCTCATACCAGAGAAAACACTTTACAAACTAGAATCACCAAAAGGGAAATCAACACCACAAATAACAAGAAGCTAAACAGCTGAAGAAAGAGTTGCAAGAATAAACAGGAGACTTAAGAATCATAAATATCACCGTGGTAAATGAGATCTCATCCATGAAAACTGAATAAGACACCATTTAAAAAAAATGACAAATTGCCTGGCCAGCGTGGCTCAGTGGTTGAGCACTGACCTATGAACCAGGTCACAGTTCCATTCCCGGTTAGGGCACATGCCCAGGTTGCAGGCTCGATCCCCAGCATGAGGTGTGCAGGAGGCAGCTTCATGGGTGTATATATCTGTCAAAATGCATGGAACTGTACACTTGTAATGAATGCAGTTTACTTTAAGTAGATTATAATACCTCAATAAAGACATGTTTACAAAAAAGGAGAAAAATTGATTTCCAAAATAAAGCTGAACAAGTACATTCAGCAACAAAATAGGCATAGGAAAACAGAAATTCTTCCAAAATGCCTCTTAAGTATGAAGGTAAGATAGATATACAGAATATAGAACCAGAGTCCAACACCTATTTTATATGATTTCTAGAAATTTTCAGGGGAAGATAGGACACTAATCATGAGGTTGAAAGATCCACTAAGTGTTAAACAGAATCAATTAGTGAAGAAAGGAGAGACTTAGACACGTACTGAAATTTCAGAAAATCCTAAAAATTTCCAAAGGAAAGAAAGTGAATTCCTACAAAAATACATAAATCACATAAGCGTGAAATTAGACTTCATCAGAAACACAGATGCTAGAAGACAATGGAGCAATAGCTTCAAAGTGATAAGGAAAAAGATTTTGGAACTCATATCCAGACAAATCAGCTTTCAAGTGGCAGTGCAAAACACACTTTCACACATAAAGGAGCTCAACATTTGCTACCCTAAGACCTTTTCTGAAATAATTAGGAAAATACACTCCAATATCATCTTAACACTCCGGTGTGGGGTGAATTTCCCGCCAAAATATAAGATGGCTCTGTCTTTTGGTTTTGTTCCATCCACCAAAAGGGTGGATTACAAACAAATATTTGGTAATACGCAGTTACAATCGGCCCGAGTTTACACGTTTCCCGCACTCCACCGCAAATCTATATGAACCGAGTTAAAGACGGCTCCCGCGGAGTACGCGCAATTCACGCGAGCCGACTTAACTCGTTTCCCCCACTCCAAGTGTTAAAAGCCTCGACGACCTATGAAGTGCAATGATAAGCAAAAGAAGCAATAAAGCCCAGCCAGCTTGGCTCAATGGGTGAACATTGATCACAGTTCGATTCCTGGTCAGGGCACATGCCCAGGTTGCAGGCTCCAACCCCAATAGGAGGCATTCAGGAGGCAGCTGATCAATGATTCTCTCTCATCGTTGATGTTTCTCTCTCTCCCTCTCCTTTCCTCTCTGAAATCAATAAAATAAAATAAGAAGCAATACATGCTAACTTTTAGGAAAATAAGTAATCTGGAACTAAAATACTTACATGATTTCAACACAGGAAGTAGAAGAGGGAAGAGAAATAGAGTGAAGTGAAAGCAAGCAGCAGTGCTATCTTTTTAGGGAAAGGAAGATATGAATTCTCATTAATTTTAAACAATGAAGAAGTAATGGCTTAAATGCATTAAACCATCCAGAAGAAGAAAA